AACCCCTAAACTCCAAACCCCTAAGCCCTAAACCCTAAACCCTGAACCCCTAAACCCTAAGCCCTGGGTTCAGGAACCCTGGACTTCAAGAAATCGTGGAAGCTGATCGTGCTTTGTGGCTCGGGGTGGCGGCCATTTTAGACCGATGAAGGCTGGTCCCTCACTGATGCGTTGGCTGAGATGACGGTTTAGGGTTTAGGGTTGATCTTTGCAAGGCCTGATGTCTACAGTGCCCTGGCACCACGTCTCAAGCCGGCTGTTCCGCCGACACCGCCAGCAGCTTCTTCTTCGAACAAGCGTAAGCATCAGCAGGGCCAAGAACACTACCCCTGAGGTGTCACTTAAAGCTTGGCTCGATTCCTGGGCGCGCATGGTGGACAACAAGGGGCCGTGCATCAGGTTCCATACAGACAAACGCAGCAACAAAGTATGTCGGTTCTCCCACCTTTGCCCTGTGCTCATGGCGAACAACCAACCTTGCGGAAAGCCTCACCGTGCTGCTGACCACGCCTCCGCTCCACATTGACTAGCTGGCTCGTCTAGCACTGGGGCGGCTGCTTGAAGCCTCCAGCCTTGGAGCTTGGATGTCAGGGTTTCAGTCAACGCTTGTTGGATTTGGGTGCCTGATTATGGTTTCGGGTTTAGGGTTTAGGGTTTACGGTTGAGGGTTGAGGGGTTTAGGGTTTAGGTTTTAGGGTTTGTTGTTGACAACCGAGCAAACCTCAAACTTTACGGTACAACCTAGACGTCAAGTCTTCGAGCTATGGATCGCCAGCCCTAAACTCTCAAGCTGGAACCCTAAACCCCCACGTCCTAAACCCTCTAAAATCCTAACCCCGAAATCCTAAATCCTAAACCCGGAACCGGGCACTGACCTCAAATCCGCAATCTCCAACAGAGCCCTGCGCTCTCTTGCGTTTCTTCTTGCAGGTGCCCGCTGCCCAGGCTTTTGCAGGCCTGATATGGGCTCTTTTAACGGTTCTAAAGGGGGGTCCTTCAAGGGCTTTAATGTTTCTACAAGGGCGATTGAAAGGTTGCTAAGCCTAAGCACATGCCTTTTCGGGTGTGAAGATATATCCTAAGGCCACAGAAACGCTCCCAAAGCCTTGTGCAGAAAGGTATCCGGTCCCAAAAGCCTTAACATGTGTTGTTAGGGGTTAGGGGTTCAGCGCCTAAGACTTAAGACATACGGTAGGGGTAGTGTTGCAGGTCACTTGTTGGAAAGATTGGAAGGTCCGTAGATGCAAGTGATTAGGTCGGTAGTTTAAGAGGATAGCAGTCCAGAGAACGATCCGTGCACTTTTGGCTTCCACTGGTATTGCAATCCCACCCAGATCTTCCCCTTATTTCATATAACGGACCCTACTTTCATTTCAGGCATATTCCTTAATTTATCGGATTTTGGAAGATCTGGGAAACTCGTTTAGGGTTGCTTTGAGGCTTTAGGGTTTAGGGTTGTAGGCATGGACTTCCTGGACCTCTTTGCCGGGCGGGTTGTGTCGGCTTTGGAAATACTCAAACTGTTTGGGATTGGGGTTTTACCGCCAATGGATCAGCTTCTACTTGCCCAGTTGAACGTCCTAGTGATGTGGCGGTCTATCCTGCTACTCTACAGGCCTATACTTTTATAAGGTAGGGGCCTTAGTTATTAAAATAGGGTTTTGGAATTCCTTTATAAAGGATTCTGTAAGGGCTTCTATGTGGGTTTAGGGTTTAGGGGCTATAATAATTAGAATAAGGTTTTGGGACCCGGTGTACTATGCTGTGTTAAGGAACCCCAAATAGTATCGGTAATTATTTAGGCCCATATATTGGTTGGCTTCCAACCCCTTCAATTGCCGACAGTCTTTTTGCTGGGATCCTTCACAAGTATGATTAGAATACGGTTTAGAATTTTAGGGTTTAAGGTTTAGGTTTTTTGATTGCTGACCCGTATAATCAGGATCTTTCCTTAGCAAAGCTGAACCCTAAACCACAAAAACATTACTAGGGAATCCTTACTTAGGGGACATTGGAGTCTCTGGGAACGGAACTGGGCGCCCAAGCTCCAAAGAGCTATACCTTATGGGTATAGGGTTCAGGTACACCGATCAGCATTAGGGTTTAGGGCTTAGGGCCTAAAGTTTAGGGTTTAGGGTTTATGTAGAGGGTTCAGGTACACCTGAAAGCACAAGCAGGCAACCATGACATGTCGCAAAGACAATAGAAAGCTTGTCAGCTAGGCATATGTAGATGAATGAATCGTACATGCACAGGGGTATTGAAAGTAAAGCAGTACACAGATATGCTAGTGAGCATATGCTTGTATACATACGCACATACATACACACATCTATATATATATATATACACATACACACACACACACATACATATAGATATGCAGATGTAAGCCGCAGACAGAGGCCCTCATAATGAAATCCATAAAAAGAACCGTTAAACCTCCTGAAAGCCTTCACAAATGGAGGCCCTAGATGAAGAAGTGAGCTTCGGAACATGAGTTATGAGCTCGTACGGCAGAAAAACTAAACCACCCAAAGCCCTAAACCCTAAATCCTAAACCCTAGACCCTAAACCCTATGCCCAAAACGGATCCTTGTAGGAAGCCCAGACCAGGACTCGGTCACTCGCGGAACAAGGCTCCAGAGACATAAGCAGACACCGCTAGGAAAACGCGGGGTTTAGGGTTTGGGGTTTAGGGATTTGGGGTTTACATGGGGTTAGGGTTTTAGGGTTTAGGGCTCGAGGACTTTATGTTCAGTTTCTTGGTTTGGGGTTTAGGGTTTTGGGGTTTTGGGGATTTAGGCTCAGGGGTTTGGCAGGATGTGATGTTGTCAGGGTTTTATAGAGGCTTCTGTAGACCATTTCTTAGTGTTTGACTACAAGGTTTGTAGGGTTTTCAGGGGTGGGTTTGGGGTTTCGGGTCGTGGAGTTGAGGTCTCGTTTGCAGGCCTTATTATAAGTAGTTATTTTGCAGCTTCCGTAAACCCTGAACCCCTGAGAACCCAAACCCTGAACCCTAAACCCTAAACCCCTGATAACCCCAAACCCTAACCCCCGGAACCCTAAACCCGTGATAACCCCAAACCCCAAACCCTAAACCCCTGATAACCCCAAACCCTAAACCCTAAACTCCTGATAACCCCAAACCCTAACTTTTAAACCCTAAACCCAGTTGCAGGTTCTCTGGGGCACCTTTTGAGAGGCCTGAAGGGTTGGCGATGTATTCCAGAGGGCCCTTTAGATGAGGGCTTTGGGGTTTTGGGGTTTTGGATGAGGATGAGGGCTTCGGGGTTTAGGGTTTAGGGTTGAGGGCTTTGGGGTTTGAGGGTTAGATGAGGGCTTTGGGGCTAGGATTTGGCGTGTTGAGTGGTTTAGGGTTTGCGGCTGTAGGGCGTCAGGGTCTATGGGGGATAGAGCTTGGTGCATCCCTGCTCCAGAAGTGTACACAGGACGGGAGGAGTCCCCAGAGCGTGATGCGCGGAGTGTTAATCTCCAAAAAGCTGGAGCCTTTGCGCTGTGGACTGTCTCACAATTGCGATTGAGCGCAGCGGGCAGTAGTCCGATTCCCAGGCTGCTTGTTTCCAGCTACGGGTCCTTGGCTTCACAGTACCTCTCGCATGTGCCGAACCACCTGGAGCATCGCAGGATGGGTGCACTACTGTTGATGGTCAAAATTCTGCATGACCCAAATATAGCATAGTACCATAAATCCCATAGTCTAGGTATATAGGGTCATGCAGGATTTTGTCCATCAGCCGTACATCAACCTTTGGGTCACGTATCGAGTTAATGTGCACCCACACCGGCTCCTCCAGGCTCGGGTTTAGGGTTTAGGGTTTAGGGTTTAGGGTTTAGGGTTGGGTTATGTAGGCTTTTTCAGTTAGGGTTTAGGCGAAGAGTTTAGGGTTTAGCATTGCGCATTGATGCTCGGAACCCATGTGGCAGACCCAAATCCGCAAACCTGAGGCGTTGTTCCAATAGTTGAAGGCCCCCCAACCCTAAACCCTGAACCCTATAAACCCTAAGCCCTACACCCAGCTTTTTTTTACCACTCCAAATTTTCTTGACACCGTAAACCTTGAACCCCAGGCCTTGAACCCTAGATGCTGAACGTCTCAGCATCTGCCCAAAGGTTCATGGGACTTAGTAACTTAGGGATTTAGATAACGTAACTATGCTTATAATTACTTATGACCCCATCTACAGTACTTATAACCGTACTTACTACGTCCCATGAAACTCCAAAGTATTGTACTCTTGTTGGCCAGGGTCGCCTTCGGCTAGGCTTGCGTTTCTTCGCGGCTGCCGCACCCCGTCTCGAATAAGAAGAAGGTTTGGGTAAACCGTAAACCCGAAGCCCTAAACCCTAAACCCTAGACCCGAAGCCCTAAACCCTAAACCCTAGACCCTGAGCTGGGGTGGGGTCTCCGGAATTGAGTTCAAGGTTTGCTTGCAGGACCTGTCTGTTCTTGGTATCCGTCTCCCATTTTAGCAATCTTAGCCGTTTAGGGTTTAGGGTTGATTAACAATTCTTGCCAGGGACAATGTCGGGAGTTTAGGGTTTGCCCCCCAGGCGTCATGGTTCAACAGTGAAGCTTAAGCAATACCCCAAGGGTTTATATAGGGTTTGTGGTTTTTGGTGCAGGCTTTAGGCTTCATTCATGTCTTAGACATGTTCATATACGGAAATATCATTGGTGCTCATACTCATACGTCGTGCTCACACGCTCATGTTGGCTATAGATTTTCTATTTTCTCGCAAAGCTTTTTCTCTGGAAATGCTTGTGCAGTCCGGAGAACGGCTCGATCACTAATTACGGACCAGAAGGGCTCCATGACGGGGCATGGCGGGCTTTAGGCTTTAGGGTTTAGGGTTTAGGGTTTCGATACGCTTAAGTCATCGAAGCAGCCTTAGGTTTAGGGTTTAGGTTTTAGGAACAGCAAACTCTCTCAAGACATTCCTCCCTTGAATACATAGAGCACAAGCGAATCATCGCGCAGCTTGGATAAGATCGCTAGCAGCGAAGACTTTAAGAGCACGGAAAAAGCAAGCCATAAAACAGAATCTCTGGATGCCTTCAAGACATGTTTAATCGTCCTACAAAGCCCTATAACCCCGAACCGCCCTGCGCGCCCACTAAACCGTCACCCTAAACCCTAAACCCTAAACCCTAAACCCTAAACCCTCACCCTCAACCCCTAAGCCCTAAACCCTAAACCCTAAACCCTAAACCAACCCCATATTTGCGCTCGGCCATCCTGGCTCGGTGCCCAGGCCAAGGGTGATTTTCTGGACTTCTTGAGCCTCGGACAAGTTTTCGGTTTAGGGTTTAGGGTCTAGTGGGTTTTAGGGTTTAGGGTTTAGGGCTTAGGTTCTGGGGTTTAGGGTTTAGGTTTTAAAAATCAAAATTTAGGATTTGGGGTTTAGGGGGGCCGCCCAGAGACTCCAATTCCCCGTCATTGAGGTATATATTTTAAACCTTATTAGGGTTCCGATTAAAGTTCAAGCTATCTTGCTGGAAGAAAGGATTTTGGAGCCTTGGACAAGTTTTCGAGGGATCATAAGGCTCTTTAGGATTATTCGGGGCTCTATAGGGCTCTATAGGGGATTGATAGGGGTTTAAAGGGTTGAAAGGTTTTCAGGTGTTTAGGGGTTTAGGGTTCAGGGGGCGTCGGTATGTTTCGAAAAGGCTCCAGTACAAGGATTTCATCAGGGGTGTTTGTAGGGTGTCATAGCACCGAATTAGTTGTAGCAGTCTGAGTGGCGAGAACAAGGTTACGAGTTGAGGAGTTCATCGGTTTGCGAGATTAAGGATTCTCTTTGGGTTCTCAGGATTGCTATAGTCGTAGTTTCTATACTGTACCTTTTTTCGGAGGGTTCCAAAAACCCCTAAACCCTAAACCCTAAACCCTAAACCCTAAACCCTAAACCCTAAACCCTAAACCCTAAACTCTGGGCTTTAGGTTTGGGGGGTGTTGGGTTTCGGGGTCTTGGGACTTCGGAGTTTCGGATGAGGGTTTAGGGTTTGGGG